TAGGCCTGGTGATTTGACAAGGTCAATGAAATAGATAGTTACATAGATTGATCATCCATATTTTTCAAAATAAACATAAGCTTATGCCTTGAAGTAAAAAATGTAAGCAATTATTTTTTTTTAAATATCTAAAGGCTAAAAATTGGTTTTAAAACACATTTTTGCTAAACCGATTCAAATTAATAAATATTTACCAGGCAATATGGCCGCTCGTAAACGACCAGCTTTGAGCAATCTGTATAACTATATATGTATCATTGACCCTGTTAATGACAACATGACAACAGGGTTGCCATATCTAAACTGTCATTACCCACTGGTAGCCATTTGGACAGGTCGTTGGAATGCCTAATTGAAATTACCTCTGGTATAATTCTTTTAAGATGGCTTATACACCCACGATATCGCCCGACCATGGCAAGAGCTCCATCTGTTGCCACCGAAGTAACGTTTGTGAATGGAATTGATTTTTCTTTAAAAAAATCACTCAAAACATTAAATATTGATTCACCTTTAGTGTCCGTCCTCAAAGTTTTCGCGAATAGTAGCTCTTCATGCATATGCATATGCCAATAATAATGCTTCATTGCCAGGTAAAGTTGTCTTGTCCAGTTGAATAGAAAAATGAGTTGTTCGTAGATAATCACAAGAAACTTTCAACATCAGAGCTCATTTCATCAATACGTCTTTGAACAGTGTTGTTACTCAAAGGAATTCTTTTGAGTATGTCAAATGAAGATTTGTGCAGAACAGTTTTTAAAACCTCTTCAACAGCAGGTAAAATTAACTGTTCTCCAATGGTGTGGGGTTTTCCAGATTTTGCGAAAAGTAATGAAATATTGTAAGATGCCCGCATGCCATCATCGTTGCTTTTAGACGTTGAAGAGAACGTACTGTGCACGGTGGGTCTCTTTTCATATTTTTCCTTTAATGTTTGGAAATATTTCAAATCTTTACCTATTTTATCAGGATGACACCTTCTTAGATCATCTTCCAGCTTTGATGGTTTCATAGAGTCATTGCTCAAAACTTTGTTGCATAAAAGGCATGTGGGCAATCGTTTGTCTGTCTTTGATGGAAGAAAACCAAATTTTAAATATTCAACACTGACGACACTTCTTCTTAGATTCGGCCATGTTTTGTATCAATTACCTACCTGTAAATGTGTAAGTAAATAAATAAAAAAAAAATATTTGTTTTAGTAATTTTAAGGCGATTCGAAATTAACAGGATATGGCTATTTTAACATAATATGATTAATCAATTATTATAAATATTATGAAATAAACAAAGTTCCGGTTGCAAACTGTTTCTAATTATTAAAAGCAATAAATCGCTAAGATCCATGATAGAGTTTTATGAAAACGGCTGAATTTATTTTAATGTGATATAAAATTATTATTTCATTTATTATATTTTAATATATTTCTGTAAATTCTATAGAAACTTTTAAACAATATTTTGATATCAAAACTCCGCAATAATTAAATGAATTAGATAGGTAATAAAAATAAAGTAGGGACGATAAGTTCAATCTTTCTCGGCTTATGCATATAATAAATAGGCAGGTAGGTACTTACTTTTCCGACACTGGCAATCACTAATATCGATTCACTTTACTTTGCAAGCACATACACCACAAGTCGTATTAATTTGCACGTCTGAACAAGCGTTGCGGACGGGACGGCGGCCGGCGCGGCAACGACAAGTCTCGACGCGTTGTACTGAATATGGAATATGCAAGTTTTTACAAGTAACAGTCGCTGAGCTTCTTAAAATATTATCTGTCTATATTGATAAGAGAAGTCAAGTCAACATTTTAGTTACTAAAATTGTAACGTGATACTTGATATTTTATCTATTTGTTATAATGTGTTTAAGCTCAATTGATTGGGCGTGGGTTAGATTATTAAATAATTCGAATAACTTTGAAAAAGAAGTAGGGCACCACTATATTTAAAACTTACTATACTTGACTTTAGATTAGTGATAAAATATAGAAAATCACTAACCACTAACAAATTATATTTAAACCCAGCTTTAGATAAGGTAGTAGCAAATTCTAATTCACATAGTTTTACTAAATTCAAATTTAAGATGATTTATTTAAAAGCACTTATCTTTAGTTAAAAGAAGGTAATATAAGGAATGTTTATTGCATGGTATACCTTCAGGCAACTTCTTCAAAGGGATTCGGTATCCTTATTCGTAATTCTGCGACTTGAATGATCTTGTGATATTTGGTATTCTAACTTAACTCGAAACGTGTAGATCTTCTATAGATGAACCAAACCAAGTACCAAAACCAAAACAAACTTCTAGGTATAAAAACCATAAAACTTCTTGATAAGAATTCAAAACTTCTTGATAGGAATTCAAAACGTCTAGATATAAATCCAAATAAACCGTCTAGATGTAAATCCAAATAAACCGTCTAGATATAAATCCAAATAAACCGTCTAGATATAGCCATGCTTATAAAATCAGACGGAATTTACGATAGATAAAAATCAATTAGTACATCGGATGACCAAGATAATTTAAAATGAAATCTAGTTGATTCGTTGACATTCAAGTTCAAAATGATTCTCCAAGGCGAATCAAGCAATTAACTGGAGTGGGGTAGAAAGCCAATGTGCATATTGTATCAATAAAACAAGATGCGACTCTATGGGCGCAGCCATTTTTATTTCTCATCTCACTCGGGAGTATTTATAATAACCATTTTCTGTTTCATATTGTTATTGTTCAATCCACAAGCTGGTGGATCAGACAATAACAAAGTGAAATAGAAAATGGTTGTTATAAATACTCCGGAGTGAGATGAAAAATAACCTGTCTTTGCCCATAGAGTCGCATCTCAAGCCTATTGACAAGCATTCTACCCCACTCCAGTTCATTGGAATCAAGGAAGAAGAAAACGACAAATGACATTTAAGAGGTGAAAGGTAGTTGTGTCGAAATAACAGTTCCAACCGTTACAAAATGTTGACTGTTTTTATATTATAAGCAGTTGAAGGTTTTTACAAGAATTTCTTCATCACATGGAAAAATGAGTAATCAATTGTTTAATAGTATATTGCTTTACTCTCGAAACCAAATTAATTTTCATGCACCCCCGCTTACGGTTGTGGACCCCCATTTTTTATTACGTCCAACGTAGACCTCCGTCGAGTCTCCCGTCGACCCCTGGGGGTCCACTTGGACCACTTTGGGAAATACTGGTCTATATGATACTATAGACTGCTAAGTGCTAAGCATTATATCTTCATTCTAGTTTTTTATTAGGTCTAGGTCATTTTATAATAATTTTGAAATATAAAAAAATAATGAAATTGAATTTAAAATTGTTTTTCCACTGGATCACATTGGAGATTGATTCTCTTTAAATATTTATTTTTCCTACGACCACTTAGAAAAGTGACACATATCGCACTATTTAGTCTTATGAAAAGTGCCCTATATAACTTTCCGCATCAGCTGTTAAATATTCAAATGCATCATTTCGATTTTGATTTATCTAATCGATTTGATGATCCTAGATATTTATTTTTTACAATAATTATTATTACATTAATTTAAAAATAACTATTTGATCAAATAATTCACTTGACGCAAGCCTTCAGGGCTCAGGTTTGTTTCGCGTTCAACTTTGAATTTCGCGATCCGGGTTCAATTCCCGGTAAGAGCAATCTCTTTAATTTATGTATTTTATATACATTTTATTAATCATAATATAACCCTTACAGTTAGGCAATCCGTTAAACTTTCCCATATTTATTTTTTTCTATTTTGATAACGGTTCAGAACAAAATTGAGAGTAGGCAATAATAATAAAGTTATTGTCCACAATTGTACATCTTATTATTTGTTGTTTTTCAAAAAATATTATAATTAAAAACATTATTATAGCATTCTAACATTTTTTCTATCGAATATCACAGTGCCCAGATGATGAATAAGAATAAGAATTTGATAAACTACAAGTGCTGTACAAATAAATTAATAAAACAATTATCGGATGAAGAAATGCTCCTCAACCTGACTAATAGTCGACTCAATAAATGTATGGTAAATTTTATTAAGTGTAAAGGTAAAGGTAAATTTTATATACACTCAAATTCGCCTAAATGGTAAGACACTAAAAGGATGATGCTTTAACTTCAATTTTTTCAAACTTATTTGTCACTCAAGTCGCAACACATACATGCTGATTTTGTCACAGAAAACAGTTAAATTCCAAAAAGTCCGCCCCTGGCGGCCATATTGAATTTGGTTCCACTCCAATTTGATAGATGGCAGCACATCGCCTTAGAATTTTACCATCTATGTTTACCATTGAGTTTCTTATCTATTATCTTTTTCCTCTAATCTATGAATCTATCAATGATGAACGGGGATGAACTAAAAGCGCTGTCTTTTTATCCAACGTTGCTGCAATCGATGCAACACGAATCCATCAGTTTCAATATTTCAATGTATGGTTTTTCCGATTCGATGTGAAAACACTGAAAACTGACAGCTGGATTGCGGGAATTAAGCAGAATTAAGGAGTTAATTAACTATTTAATTGCTCTATTGTGGAAAAAAATACATTCTTTTAAATTATGGTATATATAGGTAGATTCAAATAAAATTATAAACACAAATTTTAATCTGAAATGTCAACTGTTACGTATTTATTTCAATGGTCAACCATAAATAAACGGCGTTCAAGGTCGCATCGGTGAAACAGCGATTCCAACAAACCGATGGAAAAAAGACACACTTAACGCTATTAATTTTAATAATAAAAATTGTTCAAAACCAATAACGCATAAAAAAATAAATAAACCTAGAACCAGTCACATCTTCACTGAAACTTCATAGCCAGATTTACTAGTTTTACATTTTTTAGATGAAATAATTTTGTGGTCGAAGGAAAAATATTGTACATCACTTGTGTAAAAGTGAGTTTTCACACTCGTTATGTAATATACTATAAAAATATACTAAATCATCTTAATAATTTATTTTTATCTACATCCACACTCTACGACTACCATATCTTTATAAGCATATCGGTATGTTAATACACCGTTACTATCCACGTAAAGAATAGATATGGAATCTAACATTGTAGGTACGCAACAGGACCGGGTCACCTTAGTTGGCGCCACGCTATGAAGTAGTGCCTGGACTATCGCATGCTTGGTGGGGTTGAGATGCTCAGCTACGGGGTAGAAACATCGACCAGCACATTGATAAGCCTAAAAAAATAAATATGAAATCGAATTATCTAAAATCAGTTCCAATTATAATGTTGAGTCATAAAAAATTGAGAGGTGTTTGGCTCATAATGAGTTCCCGCTGGTAGAGATAAGTGCAAGGCTCAAACCCAGGCGAAGCCAAAATTTTTTTAAATTTTTTGTATTTTTAATTTAATAAATTCAAATCTTTGAATTAATTATTTTTAAAATAGTTATCAAAATATCTTAATAACCTATATATTAATTTTTTAAATTCTGTAGATTGTTTTTAGTGGGTCGTAGAAAAAATACAATATTAACTCTTGTTGCACGAACTACTATTTTTCTACATTTTTAAACTTGTTTTGTTCAATATTTCTTCATGATAAACTGTAAATTATAGTATATGAATTGTCTAATATCAAAACCGGCCATCTTCAAAAATTTAATTTTTCGATCTAAACCATCAATTGTGTATTATTACTAAATCATTTCCTAACAAAATCGGCCATATCCCAGCTAAATTTACCCTTTTATATTGCCGTTAGTTTCAAAACCGGCCATCTCCAATTCAGCCTTGGGATCAAAACCGGCCATATCCAACCGACCAATAAGAACCCTCAATTTTAGTCGTCATCGGGCCGGCAAATGCGCGAGTGCTGTGTTTACGGGACAAGGGTCGTCTTTTAGTCAGTTGTTTTCGATGAATCAGAGTGAATTATCGTTTACCAATATTTTCTTTGACGTGTTTTTATGATTTAAACATGTGATTTTATTATGAATACTGAACAGTACGATGGATGACAGTACAGGAAGCAAGAAAGAAAGCAAGAAATTCTGCTGAATGGAAAAATAAGAAATTGAAAATATTAAGGTAATCATATTCAAAATAACAAAGAACAAAATAAAACAGAAAATGAAGCAATTGAGAGAAGAAATTTAATTACACAAAAAAGGGTACAAAAATTAAAAGTCAATGCATTTTTCTATAAGCTGCAGGAGAAAAGAATATGAGCCTATCGAAAGTTCCAGACCAAAGAGCCTACTTCAGTCGTTAGCGGAACTTTTACAACTTTACTATTGTTGTAGGCAGCTCACATGCTGCATTAACTAAAGACAATGTTCATATTTATCATTGGAATGAAACAGAAAGGCCCAAAAGCTCCAATGAGATTGTCACTGCTGTTTTCCACAGATTATGCCAAACAGATTTGACAGATATTGACACCATCCGTTTGTTTGCTGATAGCTCTGACGGTCAAAATAAAAATCTGATGTGTCCAACACATGACTTTCCTATCTAGTTATTACAGGCTTTTTACGGTTATTTTGTACAACCTATTGCAGCATCTCTATAAATGTTTAGAGGATAAACTAAATATATACATTGTCCACATACATCTACCGCGAAACATTTTTCTATATTGAAAATGAAAATACTGAAAAATTTAAATTTAGCACTTTTCCTACAATTTTTCCATTACGGTCCATTTTAAAAAAAATCATGTATGAATAAATATTATAGAGATCGATATCGCAAACAACGTTTATTTCAACAATTTTCATAAAAATCAGAATTTTGCACATTTTGTCAAATTTTTCGAATACGGACCATTTCAGGAAATTTTTACATAAAGCAAAAATTATAGATAATAATATTAGAAGTAACTTTTATTTGAACAATTTTTTTCTCCAAACATAAATAACAGATTCCATAAAATATAAAAACGGCCTCCCATAAAGTACCCCCCCAGATGTTCCGACTTTGTCCAAAATCTAATCATTTCACATCAGGCCGAAATAAAACTTAAGTTTAAAATTTAATGTTTTTTTCTTTATCCGTTTTTGAGTTTTCTTCAAATTTCGAAATTTACACATTTTCTCAAATATCTTGAATACGGTCCATTTTAGAGAAATTATCTATAGGATAAAAATTATAGAAAATTATATTACAAACAACTTTTGTTTGAACATTTTTTATAAAAAAATATTTTTTTACATTTTGTCAAATTTCGCGAATACGGACCATTTTAGGAAAATTTTGTATATAACAGAAATTATAGATAATAAAATAAGAAGTAACTTTCATTTGAAGAATTTTCTTCCCCAAACGTAAATAACAGATATATTCCATAAAATATAAAAATGACCACCTATAAAGTACCCCCCAGATGTTCCGACTCTGCCCAAAATCTAATCAGCTCATTAGACGCTGGAACAAAGCTTAAGTTTGAAATTTGGTGTTTTTCCATGTATCGTAACCAAAAAAGAAAAAGCAGTCGATAATTTAGTACCTCGTCTTCTAACGACTGGTATGGCTCCAAATGCGAAGAAAATCAAGGATGTTTCGACACTTTTGCAGGCTCACTATGGAGAGAATTGGCGAGAGCTGCAAAATTTGATTTTCTACACAACTGTTGAACAATCCACAGGTAAATCTGCGGAAGATTACTTTGTGTGTGAGCAAATAGAAGAAAGAGAAGATATTGTCTGATTTAACTATACCCGATTAGGCAAATACCCATATTTGAATTTATAGAGAATTTTTTTGTTTTCACATTGAATTATTATTGTAGAAAAAAATGTTTTCTAATGTTTTGAAATAAAGTTTAAAGACCTATACCCAACACTTTTATTAACAATTTATAAGCAAATGTATGTTTGGCTTATTAATTTTACAAATTTTTAAGCCCAAAAACATTGGCAGGTAATTTCAAAACCGGCCATCTCCATATAGATTAATTTCAAAACCATAGCTTAGTTTCAAAATCGGCCATCTCCAACTTTATTTATCATTTTTGGCTATAAATATGCGAAACTCATTGTTTAGATATCAGAAATATGTTATTTTATATCATCATAAATATAAAACACAAAACCACAAATTATTTTTTCTACGCCCACAGGGATATTAGCTTATCTACGCACAGACTACAAAACGAAAAAGTAGTAGTCATTGCGTTTAAATGTTTGGGTTACATCCCCATCATTTATCTGCAATGTTTCTGCATACCATTAGGGCTTTTGTGGCCTTATTTACTACTTCCTTCTCATGTGTGTTCCAGAGAAGTTTGTTGTCCAGGGTGAGACCTAGATATTTGACTTCATTATTCCATTATATATCTATCCCGTCTAATTTAACGGTTTCGAGATTAAGTTTTCTTTTCCTTGAAAATACTACTAGTTTTGTTTTTGTAGGGTTTATACTAAGTCCCACTTCACGGTACCATCTTTTGGTATGTTCTAGAGTCCTCGTTGGACCCTCTCCAGGACTTCCGTTCTGATATAATTATCAACAGCCTTCTCCATTGTTTTTAATACAAAGGATGTGAGGCTGATTGGTCGGAAAGATTTAGGATGTGTGGTATCCTTTTTCCCTACTTTTGGAATAAAGGTGACTCTGGCCCTTCTCCATGCTTCTGGTATATATCCCAGCTCCAGACTGCTCCGGGATAGCCGGATTATGTGTGGTAGTAATTCCACCTGTGCCTGCTGAAGCAGGGCAGGAAATATTCCATCCACACCTGGAGACTTAAACGGTTCAAAAGTGTTTACGGCCCACTTTAACCGATTTCTGCTGCATATGTGTTTGGCCACTACAGCGGCCTCTCTTGAGGGCCTGCTTACCTTAGTTGTGTCCCTTATTAGAAAAGGTGTGCTTCCAGGAAAGTGAGTTTCGAGTAAGAGGCGAGCTCTTTCCTCCTCACTCTCCATGAAGCTTCCATTTGGTTTCTTTAATGCAATAACTGTATCAACTCTCCCTTTTGCCAGGGCCCTGTGCAGTCTCGCTGCCGCAAGTTTAGAGTTAATATCCTTGCAGAATATTCTAAAGCTGTTACGTTTAGCTTTCCTGATTTCTTTATTGTAGGTAGTAAGCGCCTCGGTGTAGCACTGCCAATCTCCGCTGTGCTTGGCCCTATTATAGAGCTTCCGCACTTTGGATCGTAAGTTTGACAGATGACGGTTCTACAAGGAGCATATGCCTCGAGATCGCAAGTGGGTGCCCGGGCCCCTTTTTTGTCTGGATACGTGCTAAATTTTGTTTTAGAATGGTGTTATATTTGTCTCAGTCTGTTTTTCTAGGATTCCCTCCTGAGGATCGTCTCAGGAATGTCGCTCTCTAACGTAAACACAATTATCTTGTGATCGGATAGAGATGGTTCACTCGATACCCTCCAGTTTTTAACTAGATCTTTAATGCTCGGTGTGCTTAATGTGATGTCTAATACCTCACTTATTGCCCTTGTTACAAATGTTGGAGTATACAATATACAATAAAATGAGTTATTTTTGTGTAGAATCGATAAATAATCGTAAATAATAGCACTTTGATTTTTATTTGAACCATATTTTGAAACAAAAATTAAATTTTATATAAGATATATAAAACTATTTTAATTACGAGTATTAATTCCAAAATCGTAAAAGTTGACATAGAGGCATGGACATACTACTTGACTTCCACTCCGCCTACGGCGTCGTGCCCAAATTTCGTCTTCGTGCGATATGACCATCATATCCACTCTTGTTGCACAAACTATTATTACTCATTACTGTGTTTACAGCAGTTTTTTTGCATTTTTCTCAAAATTAACTTGAGTGGAGATGGCCGGTTTTGAAATTAGACGATTCATATATGTTTATACACTATATTGATCGTATTTATTTTAGGTTGATTTATTTTAGACATAATAATAAATTAATATAATAAATTTGTGTTAGATTTGATAGTTCATGCTTTATTGGAGTTATACTATAATCTTCATTTCAGATGTATAATCAACCTTTCAGTATTGTTACATAAACTGCTAAATACATAATTTGATACTTTAGAACTAACTCACAATACAACTTCTTGAGTAACTCTGTAAGATCTACTGACCTCATAACCACTTGGTTGAACAATCCACGAATCATACTTGATTTCAGCAAAATCCACGTACAATGGTCTCCTTCTGCAGGTATTCCTCAACCTCTTAAATCGCTTCAACTGAACTGTCTTTTTCACTAAATTGTCATCATCCCATAATCTGTTAGTTTCTTCCTCATAGTCGTCCTCGATGTTACGCTTTTTTCTGTTATTTTCTGTTTTATACTCATTTAACGCGATGTTATTTTTCAATAATTTATTAATTCGTTCTTTTAATGTATTATTCTTTTCTGTTACGTTATTAAATTTATTTTTTCGATATTGATTATTAATATTCCACATCTCGTTAATTTCCTCATCATAATCGTAGTTAGCATTACGTTTTCTTCTCTTATTTTTAAACGCAGTCACTTCTTTAACTTTATCATTTATGTCTTCTTTAGTGGATGAGTAGGTGAGCAGTAAAACGGGATAATCATGTTCATAATCTTCTTCTATAGGCATTAAAGATAGTTTTAGATTGTCAGAAATTTTAGGAAGAAACGCGGATATCATGACAACGATTTTGAGATATTTGGTTTTAGAATTCATTTGTAAAATATCGTTTACTGGAGCTGTGACATCGAAAGATATCCAGGAGTTGTTGAAGTGGTGAATTTGGATTTCTTGAAAATCGAGGAGGTGTTTCACTGTGTCATCGTATATGGACATTTTTAGTATTCTTCTGACTCCTATCGTACGAAAATAATAATTATTACATTTTTAAAGAAAGTGTTAATAGACTGAAAGCCAGCGGTCATTTTAGCAACATGTTAAATACAAAATGTTGGAAATTTGTAGATTTATAATTGAATATCAGTTGAATAAGGAAATAATAGAATAATAATAATAGACTGTCAAATAGTGACCGATTTAGGTGCCCCCATTTCATACAAGCCTCGAAGAGGGTTGAAAAGTACATCGATGCTGAGTAGAATAAAAGAAAATTTACGAGTGGCTCTTGAGGATAACACATGGAAAATCCGATTTTCCTTATTAAAAAAAAATTTCCGGCCCCAAAATGCACTTATACATTCGGGTTATTCAAGAAAATATGTTTTTCGGACTAGTGACGATGTACGTTTTCATACATTCGATGGGATTGTGTGGAAAAATGTGGTAAAATTGCGATTTTTTCTTAGAAGATTACGCCCTTAGTTTAACCCTTAGCCACTTGCCACATTAAAGCCTTTGGTTTTTCGAAGCCTAGTTCTATTAATTAATCATATAGTCAAAGCGGCTTTCGTGGAAATATGGGCAACAAATAACCTTTCATTTTTGTTAGGGAAAATCGAATTTTCCATGTGTTAGCCCCAGGAGCCACTGGTAAATTTCCTTTCATTCTACTTTTCAACCCTGTTCGAGGCTTGTATGCGAAAATGGGGCACCTAAACCTATCACTATCTGACGGTCTATAACAGGGATATCGTGGTTGCGACGCTTAGATATATTTATATTTTTGAAAATGCTAAAAAGTTGTTAAAATGAACGTATTTCTAAAAAGCTAAAACTATCAGAAAATATTCGTTGAATAATTATTTTATCAACATAATTACAACTGCCAGACCATTTTGGCGGTTGCTTTTTATGTCTCACAAGCTTTTTGGCGTTGGCTCTGCGATGGACGTCATGGTATTGATAAAACAAAAAGACAACACATTATATTAGAATTTCGTAATTTGTTGTATGCAAATAGGCCTTTTCATCACAATTTTTTTTTTGTGCACTTGCGTCAGTATCAGCCATCATTTTCGTACTGTTTTTGTAAACAAGCATGTTAAAATGCTCACGTGAAAAAAAATTATAATCGATAAATAGTTATTTAAATATATTCATTTAAAAAAAGGAAGAAAAAGCAAAGTAATAATAAGTTTAGCGTCTTAATTGAAAAATATATTTTTGCATTCAAATAATAATTATGTTATCTGTACAGAAAGAAACAACGAAACGGTGTTGTTATGGAGTATGTAAAAGTGACACACGGTATAAATCATTCAAAGGCAATGCATATTATTTTATAAATTTTCCAAAGCCTTGGCTGTAATATCGTAAAAAATTATCAGGCAAAATCCATATTAAAACATGTTCAAAATGCACAAATTATGCGAGAGAGAATTCTAATCTGGTATTACACATTTTTTTTTTAATATTAAATACTACTTCCGGTATACACAGTAATATGATTAAAAATGTCATGTTTATCCTCAAAATATTAAATAATGTATTTTATTAATTATACTCGTGATTAACTTTCATGTTAAAGTGTTTTGCAAGTAGGTACTAATCGTTAGTTGGCATAATTAATTAGAATACAGTTATAATTATTATTTGTTTTCATTAATTTTTTACCCAGTTAAGAAGTATTGATACACCTAACCTCTCAATCAGTCCACTTTTTTTGTTTGTAGGAAACGTCTAAGACACTTCAACCAACTTTTCAACTGCTCACAACTATGTGCTTCCACAAAGTTATAAAAAAGTTAATCACAATCAACGATTTTTTCTAATGATTGATTTGTCTGTAGGAATAATATTGCTTTCCCAGCCATTGTCGATCAAAACAGTACGAAACATTTGAATTACCGCTATTTCAACATGGTGGCTGCGCTTGCGCTCATCACATGATGAAAAGGCCTATTACACCTACTGAAGCTGAAACTCGATTTAAAAAATAATTTTGTAGAAGAAAATGAAAAACTATGCTTTCATTTAAATGAAATTTGGAAAAGAAAAGAAGAATGGTGTATAGCTTACAGATCTGATATTATTACTCGTGGCCATAATACCAATAATTACACCGAAGCTTCAATTAGAATACTGAAAGATGTTATACTACAGAGATGCCGTGTGTTCAATGTGTGTGCACTTACTGACTTTATGACCACAATTTTTGAAAAGTACCATCATCGTCGGCTACTGGATTTTGCTAACATAAGGCGAAACAAACTCAATCTTTATTCTGATTTTGTAAAAAAATAAGACACGTTAACAGTGATTCGAGTAAATTCGCATGAATTCAATGTTTCGTGAAGTAAAGATGATAAAGTGTTTTTTACAATAAACATCGATGTGATTGTGATTGTGTCGCCGGAAAAAGTGGAACATTCTGCAAACAACTGTACGCTGTTGAAAATCAGCATAATTTTGTCTTTCAAAACTCACCAAAGATAGACACTAAAGATCGAATTATGT